CCCCCGTGCTCTCCCATTCCTGCCTCCGCGGAAGCTTCCCCTCCCGACGAGCCAGCTAGAAACTTTCCAGCCGGTGCCTGAGCGCTGGGACGGGGCGGGATGCCCCGAACTCTCCAGACAGCAGGTTCCAGGGGCTACCTTTAGGCTTCAGCTCCCGGACGAGAGGAGGGAAACGGTTTCATCTGAAAATCCTAACATTTACTGCGAGAAAGGGGGAGAAAAGCGAGGAATAGAGAGGACCCAGTAGTCACCCTGTGCGATTCCTTATCCCCCAACCCCGCACTGGGCAGGGAGGGATGAGGAGGCAGCGGGTGACACAGGGACAGGCGCGGGACCTGAGCCCGAGTCCCTGCCTGCCCCGGCAGAAGGCACTGCTGTTTAGGAAGAGGAGGTTCAAGAAAGCCTTTCGGTAATCCCAGCACCTCCTCGGAGAGAAGAGGAGAGGGTACCGAGTGGCTCGGGAGCACACTCTGCCTTTCCTTCTGTTCCCTCGCCCCATCCCCATTTACGGGGACTTCTTTATTTCAGGGCTCCCGGATAATGGGAACTCAGCTATCAGACGAGGAATGGCTTGCGCCTAGGTTTGCCTCTCACTTTTTGTGACCTAGAGCTACCCTAGGACAAGCAAATCATATGCTTATTTTAAATAGAATATTTCATTCAGTACCTCCAGATTAAGGTATTCCTGTCAGATAAGCTGTCAGTCACTAACTACTTAGACACCGCATTGTGGAAGCCTGGTATCCCTGGTAAAGATGATACATATCATGTAAACCCCATCAACAAGATCAAAGTCTTCTTCTTTAATAGGATCCAATACATGTCAAACCTCATTCCAATCAAATCGTCCGTAAATGAATTCAAGATGAATATGTCATAGAATAATGTGACAGTGCAATCACATGGGGTCAGGGGTTGTTGTTTCAATGAGAGAGTCGTCAAATATTAATTCTAGAACCTCCAAATGAATAGGCATTGAGCAGGATTAGGCAGCTGCTGGTGGGGAGTTGTGTCGCTGATTTGTGTTTATGCAAGTACGTTAAACACTAAGCTGAAAAAAATATTGTCTCCTTTGAACTGAAAAAAAGACATATTTTAACTTACTTGACTTTTCCAGGATGTTTCTGTAAAGCCGTTTTCTTTTCCTCATTACAAGGGGAGTCTTGTGCCTCATTTCCTGACTTTGTTCCTGTTTGGGGAGAGAGGTGGAAAGTTAAGAGCAAAACCATTTGTGTGTGATATGAAATGAGGAAGGGGCTATATGAGTCGGGCGTCATGAATTCAAACAGAAAAGAAACACCAAACCAAACCAAAACACAAGAGTTAAGCAGAAAGGGTGGCGGGAGGAAAAGAAGCTTTCTCCGAGGGGAAACTGGAGGCTGTCTCCCCAGCAAAGCAGCACATGTTTTATGGAGTCATGAAGTTTCCATGGCTGATTTAGGGGAAAAAAAAAATGAAAGGACATCTTTTCAGTTCTCCTTTGATCTGACATTCACCTTCTGGCAGGCTATTGTAAGGCAGGTTTTTACCAACTCGACTATATTGTTTACAGATCCTATCCCTCCCGAAATTAAATTTTGGACTCTCTGCGAGCCTCCAGCGCAAGTTGTTGTCTCAGCAAGGATTAGTATAGTACCACCCTGGCACTTCTCCCTGCCTATAATTTTCAGCTTGCTCTTTGCACTCTGCAAGGCAGAGCACTGCCACTACTGCAGGCAGAACTTTGCACAGCTTTCTTTGAGCGGCAGCAATAACCCTGAGAGCGGACCTGGGGTTTCATGCAGTGTCCGAGTCCGAATTTTTGCAGATATCTTTGAAATTCTCAGGGTTTGGTTTTCGGTTTGGGTTTTTTTTTGTTGTTGTTGTTGTTGTTGTTTTTTTTCCTTTTTCTTTTTCTTCAATACAGAAAAGCACATTAGAATCTGGAATCAGTTACTTCAAAGGAGATTATTATTATTGTTATTATTATTATTATTATTAGTGCTCTTGCTACGACTATGATAGGGACTCCAGGGCTGGTAAATAAAAATCTATACTAACACAAATAATTGATGGTATTAATTATGAAACTTCATCAGCGTATCATAGTCATACTCTATCACAAATAATTTGATGTCCTCAATCTTTTCACCGCTGTGATTAAAATTACTGCCGAAATAAAAAGAACTAGAGGAACCCCTTAGGAATTATATTTTCTAGTCAACTTCCATTCATCCTCACACTTTTATCAAGTCAGAGCAGCAAACACTGCCCCGCTAGCGAGAGGTCTGCAGGAGTTGTGCTTTATTGGTTAGGATGGGAGGCTGGAGGAGTGCTCAGTTCCCAAGCGTTCGCCAAAACTTGTTGAAACTGGACAAAAAAAAAAAAATTTCGCTGCATTTAATATTTCAAATGGTTACCAGATGACAAAAACCGAAGGCAAAACAGTTGTGGATTTCAGACTAAATATTGGCTAAAACTCTGGCTCGACCTCGCACGCCTTTCTCATCTGCGCAGTGCCACTGGCGGAGCAGGAGGGGTGAGGATGCCCCATCGCCCGAGCTGGTCGGATCTCGGCACGGCCGAGACCCGGGGCTCCGCCGCGGGGTACCAGGCCCCCCCCCCCC